GCTGGATTTATTAAAATTTTCGGGCCCTCAATGCCTACATTTTTGCATCGTGCTCTACTCAGTATTAACCATCGGCCAGTTGAAGTTTATTTGCATTAAATGTATCTACCGACTACTAAATCACAGCTAGCTGCATAATACAAGAATGTACATTCTAAGATAGAAATATAAAATCCCGTCCACAGCCCACTCTTTGCTAGGAGAAGGTATTCTGAAATAATGCGAATCACAGCAATTGTAGGTTAGCAAGGCTGCCGTTTTGTTTCGAGTGCGATTCTGGATCAAGCTGATGGCGTGTCATTGTGCCACTTGGGCTGCAACAAGCAGTAAAAGAATAGATGTAAGCATTGCATTTCAATCAGAAAGCTGTTTTTCAGAATTCCGGATAGTATGTCGATGGAAGAAGCATCGTTAATTGAGCCACTCAGTGTCGGTATACATGCGTGCCGCAAAGCTAATATTGGGATGGGTCAAAAGGTGCTAGTGCTCGGCGCTGGTTAGTCATTTTCGTTCAGTTAAATTGGTGAGATACAAATTCTGACAGCTCATTTTAAGCATATCTCTCATTCATTTTGAGCTTACCTCTCTCAAAGCTTGCAGAGATTTGTGCAGAAAGCAGCGACCGAAAAGAAAGCATCCTTTCATAAATGTATTTGCTGCAGCCTTTTGTGAGAAAATGTCTTCATTGGTTCTGGTTGTGCCGATGACAACGAAGTTAGTAGTGCTGTTTGCTTACAGGTCCTGTGGGATTGGTGTCAATGATGGTTGCAAAAGCAACAAACGCAACAAAAGCGTTTGTTACGGATGTTGTTGACCACAGGCTAGCAATAGGAAGGGAACTTGGTGCGGACGAATGCATCAACGTCAAGGGAATAAACCCGAATGAAGCTGCTCAAATGATCATAGACAAGTTTGGCAGTGCGCCAGATATAGCTATCGAATGTTCTGGAGTACAGTCCAGCATCGAACTGGCTATTAAGGTCAGGGAGTGATACTTCTAGCAAGAGTTTCTACATTT